ATGTGTGTATGTATGGATGTCAGTGTCTGTATGAATGTATGTATGCCAGTATCTATGTATGTCTGTATGCATGTCTATATGCCTGTCATTATGTATGTATGTCTGTCTGTATGAATGAATGTATGTATGTCATTATGAATGTGTGTATGTATGGATGTCAGTGTCTGTATGAATGTATGTATGCCAGTATGAATGTATTTCTGTGTGTATGTCTGTGTGCATGTCTGTATGCATGTCTGTATGCATGCCTGTATGTGTGTATGAATGTCAGTGTATGTTTGTCTGCATGTCATTATGAATGTGTGTATGTCTGTCTGTCTGTATGAATGTATGTATGCCAGTATGAATGTGTCTGTATGTCCTTATGCATGTGTGTCTGTATGTGTGTCTGTCACTATGTACGCCTGTGCGTCTGTATATGTGTGTATGTCTCAGTATGTGTGTGTCAGTATGTATGCCTATATGCGTATCAGTATGTGTGTCTGTATGTATGTTAGTATGTGTCTGTCACTATTGTGATAAGGTGAATGGGGTGGTCTGTGAGGGAGTCTATATCTCGACAGAATTGTTCAGAGAGGCATATGATTTTTAACCCCAGGGGGAGTATGTGTAGTTTGTGTGTGTTACACAAAGCATTGTTTAGTTATGGGCCCCTGGGGTGGAGCATTTGGAGAGCAGGGTGGGCCAGTGCTCCACTCCGCAGCTTAGCGGTTTTCTTGGAAGACTTAGATCCAGCCCAGGGTTTTGGACTGTCTCCAACCTACTGCTCAGCTGTAGGTAATCGGCTGCAGCAAGTGGGAATAAAATCCCTCCCTGCTAGGCAGGTAAGGGAGAATGGTTTTTTTTCTCTCTGAAAGGCTGGAAGCAGCAGGCTGGCTAAATACTGGAGTGCTGAGAGTGGACAAAGACTCTAGGTTAGTGAAACCACTATTGTTTTGTTTAGTTTAATCCTGAGAGATAGGGGACCTAATGTCAGTTAGTGCTCAGACGAGCCAGGTTTTTGTTTATAGGGTTTTCTGTTACTTTTGTTTTCATTTAACTGCTGTATCCTGTGTGGATTTACAAAATAAAGTGCCTGAGTATTTGCAACTACAAGGACTGTGCATGTTTTTGCCCTAGAGGACCGTGCTACCTGCAAACAAGGATCACAATATGGTGGAGAATGCGGGCAAAGTAGCACAGTGAGGGTCTGTGGGTGTGCCAGTCATTTGGTAGTCTGCTTGAGGACTTTTATTTTTGCAGACCTGTTACGCAAACAAGTAGCACTGTACCTTTAAGACTGTTACCTGCTTGGTGCTATAATGGAGGACCTGCTGAGAGCTGTGGTACAGGCAACGGCTAAACAACAAGGCACAAACAGTTTCCTGGCTGCACAGGTTAAGAACCTGAGGGACGCTCAGCAGGAGCATAGAGCTGCCCTTACTGAGGTTTTGCAGATTGCCCCCTGCAGGGAGTGTGGGGACAAGGGACCCTGTAACCAAGCTACTGACATCCTGCATGGGATGACAGAGGCAGTAGAAGAAGTCTTCAGCAAGCTGAAAAACATGGAGGCAGCAAAGCGTGCTGTTGAGAAACACGCAGGAGAGAAAGAACAGGAATTAAAAGGCAAGAAGGATGAAATTGAGCCTGAAAGAAGTGATAAAATGGAAGAGGGTGAAAAGCCAGCTGGATCCTCAAAGGAACAAAAAGAAAAAAAGTTAGTAAAGAGTCCAGCAAAGCTAAAGGAAAAAGCGGAATTGCCAAGAGGCAGTGATGGCGACACTGATGACATGCGCCAAAGTAAGAAAGGTCAGAAGAATCAGAAAGGAGAAAAAAAGACTGTGGCTGAGGCCAGCAGTGTCAAGCCGGTTTGTGTAATAAAAAGTGAAGCAGAAGCCGCTGATGTTCACCCAAATGAACAAGTTAAAGTCATGAAAAGCAGACTGACTTGGGGAGTCAGAGAAGACAACAGCAAAGGAGCTGAGCAAAATGAAGAGAAGCAAAGCACTCCAGTTGAGTATAACAATGTGGTGCGCTGTTTAGTAGCAGAGACACCTGGTATTGTTACAAAGAATTTGAATGATTGTCCGGGAGCCGTAGAACTAGATCTGCTGGCAAAGACTACTGCTACAAAGTCTGGGCGCACTGACTACCGGGAACAGCTGCCAGATTCTGGGAACACAGTCATGGAATTAAAGGCGGGACTTGGAATGCCTGACCGGCTGTTTGATACCAGGGCTGTAATGACCCAGCGAGAGGCCATGACTGCGTCTCTGGACAACCCCACTCGTGAGCAGGGTCCGGAGGTGCATGTCGCTGATACTCTTGCCCCCCATCAGAAACAGGAAGTCAGGGAGTTTGTGTCTAAAAATAGGGATGTGTTTTTCCCAATACCAGGAAAAACGCATATAATCAAGCATGATATCCTAACTGAACCTGGGAAGAAGATCAATCTGAAGCCCTATAGGATACCTGAGGCTAGACGTGAAGCGGTTAGTGCAGAGGTTAAAAAGATGCTTGAGTTGGGGGTGATTGAAGTATCACAAAGTGAGTGGAACAACCCAATTGTGTTAGTGCCCAAACCAAATGGGGAAATCCGCTTCTGTAATGATTTCCGTAAGCTAAATGATATCTCTAAGTTTGATGCCTACCCGATGCCTCGTGTGGATGAGCTAATAGAGCGATTAGGTAAGGCCAGATATCTGAGCACCTTGGACCTCACCAAGGGATACTGGCAGGTACCCCTGACTGAGAAAGCAAAAGAGAAAACCGCGTTTTCTACCCCTGATGGGTTGTTCCAATATAAAGTGCTACCATTTGGGTTGCATGGTGCCCCAGCAACGTTTCAGCGTATGATGGATAAGATACTTCACCCCCACAGACAGTATGCAGCCGCCTACCTGGATGATGTGGTGATTCACAGTGCGGACTGGGAAACCCACTTGATGAAGGTTCAGGCAGTTGTGGATAGTATAAGGGCTGCCGGTTTGACAGCTAACCCTGCTAAGTGTTCTTTAGGGCTAGAAGAAGCAAAATATCTGGGGTACACTATCGGGCGGGGGCTCCTTAAACCACAAGAGAGCAAAGTAGCAGCCATCACCAGTTGGCCACGTCCTGTAACTAAAAAGCAAGTCAGGGCTTTTTTAGGCTTAACCGGCTACTATCGTAGGTTCATCCCTGGGTACGCTACCATTGCCAACCCATTGACTGAACTTACTAAGGCAAAAGGCCCGATTATGGTTAAGTGGACCCCGGAAGCGGAGCATGCCTTTCAAGTCTTGAAGGGAGCCTTGTGTGCTGACCCTGTTTTGGTGGCTCCGGATTTCACTAAACCATTTGTGGTACAGACCGATGCGTCTGATGTGGGCCTTGGCGCGGTTCTGTCCCAGGTACATGAAGGAGAGGAACATCCTGTCATGTATCTGAGCCGGAAAATGAATCCCCATGAACAGAGGTACTCCGTAGTGGAAAAGGAATGCCTGGCGATAAAATGGGCTTTGGAATCCTTGAGATATTACTTACTGGGGAGATGTTTTACACTGATCACGGACCATGCTCCTTTAACATGGATGAGGCATAACAAAGAAAAGAATGCCAGGGTGACTAGATGGTTCCTAAGTCTTCAGCCTTACCAGTTTACTATTGCTCACAGGGCCGGAACTGCCCAAGGTAATGCGGATGGCCTCTCCCGAGTTCACTGTTTATGGTCCCAGGCCGCTCGCCCGATGGGTCTGAGCTGGGGAGGGGGATATGTGATAAGGTGAATGGGGTGGTCTGTGAGGGAGTCTATATCTCGACAGAATTGTTCAGAGAGGCATATGATTTTTAACCCCAGGGGGAGTATGTGTAGTTTGTGTGTGTTACACAAAGCATTGTTTAGTTATGGGCCTCTGGGGTGGAGCATTTGGAGAGCAGGGTGGGCCAGTGCTCCACTCCGCAGCTTAGCAGTTTTCTTGGAAGACTTAGATCCAGCCCAGGGTTTTGGACTGTCTCCAACCTACTGCTCAGCTGTAGGTAATCGGCTGCAGCAAGTGGGAATAAAATCCCTCCCTGCTAGGCAGGTAAGGGAGAATGGTTTTTTTTCTCTCTGAAAGGCTGGAAGCAGCAGGCTGGCTAAATACTGGAGTGCTGAGAGTGGACAAAGACTCTAGGTTAGTGAAACCACTATTGTTTTGTTTAATCCTGAGAGATAGGGGACCTAATGTCAGTTAGTGCTCAGACGAGCCAGGTTTTTGTTTATAGGGTTTTCTGTTACTTTTGTTTTCATTTAACTGCTGTATCCTGTGTGGATTTACAAAATAAAGTGCCTGAGTATTTGCAACTACAAGGACTGTGCATGTTTTTGCCCTAGAGGACCGTGCTACCTGCAAACAAGGATCACACTATGTACACCTGTGTGTCTGTATATATGTGTAAGTCTCAGTATGTGTGTGTCAGTATCTATGCCTACATATGTATCAGTATGTGTGTCTGTTAGTATGTATCAGTGTGTGTGTGTGTGTGTGTGTGTGTGTATGTATATCTGTCTCCTTTTGTATCAGTGAATGTGTTTGTGTCTGTGTGTGTATTCCTGTGGGCGGGATTTGGAGGCGGTCTCTGTGGGCGGGCCCCCAGGGGCCCAGACCCTGAGTTCAGTTAGGAGCCTCAAAAATTCTGGTGGCGGCCCTGACCCTACCCTTACCTTTTGTGTCACTATACCCCACTCCCTCTAGCACAAAGGTAGGCAACCTACAGCACTAGTGCGATGCACGGCACTCGAGGTGTCTTTGCACGGCACTCAAGGCTGCTAGAGCCAAACAGGCTCTGGCCTATCAGGAGTCCCAGTAAAACTTTAGATATCTGCTAATACGAAAATGTGGTGAAGGACAATCCTCAATTAATGCATTGCAGCACGTAGAGGTAGTGATCTCAGCTCACTTCCTCCCAGCACTTGTGAATGGGAATCCACACTGTAGTAGAGAAGCCTGCAGCTGCTGTTGCTGCTCCTGTCCTTGACCTATACCTGGCCAGCCTGGTCCCCACTGGAACCCAGGGAAGCCACCCACACTGCTAGATATACACAGAAATGCAGAATAATCCTCCCCTCATACAAATAATACGAACAGCCCACAAACAAACATACACACAATCTGTACAAACGTAACCCGCTAACAATCCACATACATGCACACAACCCCACATGCAGCTTCTCACATGCAATACTCCAAACAGCCCCTCACATACACACACTACCAAACACACATTGTGACATTTCCATTCACACACACAACTCCACAATCAGCTCTCATACACAGCCCACATTCATAGGTATCATACACGATACCATAAACTACTAATGAACATATACAATATAATAGCTCACATACACACAAATACAATGATACAAAGCAATTACAGTAAAAATAACACAAGCAGAAGATGGCAACATAGACGCCTCAATTTAAAAATATAGGACCGACACGCTACGGGACATCACAATCTTGTGCTAAAAGATTGCCTACCCCTGCTCTAGCATGTAAGCTTATTGAGCAGGGCCCTCAATCCCTCTGTTTCTGTGTCCAACTCGTCTGGTTACAAATATGTGTCTATTATTCCACCCATTTTACAGCGCTATGGAACTTGTTGGTGCTTTATAAATAATAATAATAATAATTATAGGGATAATGTTTGAGGTGTAAGCAGTGTTTTGTTGTCATTTTTGTTCTTGTTGTTTGTTTTTTGCAGCAGATGTAGCATTTGAAAATATGGCTTAAAAGTACTGTCTTGGTCTCATTTGACCACAAAGCCATTTCCCATATCTTAGCCAAGTCAGTCTCATGCTTTTAAGCAATAAGTGCTTTCGTATGGCTGGTTTTGAGTAAAAGCTGCTCTTTTATCACTGTCCAATACAGGCCAGATTTATGCAGAGCTTTTGAAATTGTTAACTGGTACTCATTTACTCTAGTATGAGACACTAACCTCTAATGCTCCTTTAAAAGTGACCAATTGCCTCTTCTTGGCTTATCTCACAAGTCTCCTCCTTGCTTGCTTGTCGATTGTTTTATTTATTTATTTTTTTTATTGTTTTTTTTTTATTCTTTATTTTTCACGTGCACAGATTTACAACAGGCATGCAGAGCCACGACAGCTTCCGCATGCTTTTTATAACGTTTTGCAGTGTAGACAGCAAATTTTTTAATTTATTTTTTTTATATAAGCAGAGAAACATAAGGGTAGTATGGTTTAGCATGTCTGACTGAACATTCAAATAACATTTCTCAAGTTAGGTCCCTGAATGTCTGGATAAGGTACACTCTTCAAAAGTCAACGATTATGACATTACTTGCTGACCATAAACATGCTAGATCCTGTAAATAAAACTTTTCTAGCAAGCAAGAGTGTTATCTATACTGTGGCTGGTTTACATCATATAAGCATTAGGATGAACAGGAAAGATAAACTAATAACTTGGCTCATGATGATGCTATGAATAATCTTACATTGGTTAGCAAAGGTATTAGGCTGTGGTTAACGTTGAGTCTGCTATATGACCACTGGGTACTAATTGCACCATGACAGCTCTAAAGGAGCTGTGAATTTAATGTCTCTGTAAGAGAGGTGGTGTGTATTACGTGCTGTCCGTTTATCCGATACCTCGTATGGGCCATCGGAGCTTGGTAGGCTGCATGGTCGGTGAGGTAGTGCTATTCGTCCCCAGGAAGGGCTGTGTGTTGAACCAGGCTCCTTGCATGTGGCTTGTGGTGGGTGAGCTGCGCCGGGGGTTCCCATTCTCCCAGGCCCAGGCCTCCCGTGGGTTCCTGGTCGCTTGTCTGGTAGCTTTCCATTTTGGTTTGGCTGGATCACGGGTCTGCGGACACTTGACGCGTCGGGGGATTCCCCGAGTGCTTGGACGGCTTGTTGGCTGTTCCACCCTACGAGCTCCATGCCCAGTGCCGGTTGCAGGTTCGCAGTCCACTGCATCTTTTCTCTGGGTCAGCTGCCCGTGTGGGTGTCGGCTTTCGATGCGGTGCCAGAATGCTCGGCATATGCGTTCAAACCGGGCTTCAAAGTCTTCAAAGCCAGGACTGAATGTCCGCTCTCTCTGTGGTTTGTCGAGGCTGCGTTTCGGCGGCCATCTTGTGCTCACCATGCGGTCCTTGGGTACAGGAGATCACTTGTTTGCCGGGGGTGACTTTGCTCAGTGGGGACCGGGATAACCCCCTCCGGTCCAGGGGGGGGGGTGACGGGGCTCCGGAGTCTCCAGGTGTTGCCAAGCGTCTCGGGTCAGGCAATCGGCCGCCTCCCCCGGCCTGCAGGTCGCCATCAGTGTTAGGCCTCGTGGCTGGACGGCTGGATACTGTGTTGGGGCAACTGGCTGCATGAGTGCTTACAGTCCCGTGCTGCTTGGTGGCAGAGTCTTGCCCTTGCCAGGTCATTTTCTGTGCGTTAGAAGGTCAGAATAGCTCATTTTCAGCCCTGTTTTACAGGAGCTGAGCTGCAACACGTCCTGCCATCTTGGCTGCCAGGCCCCGCCCCCCCCTTGTCGATTGTTTTGAAGATAATGAATCCACAAATTCTAACTAGAATTTCCGAAGACATTGATATTACTTTAAACACAGAAACATAGAATGTAACGGCAGATAAGAACCATTCGGCCCATCTAGTCTGCCCAATTTTCTAAATACTTTCATTAATCCCTGACCTTATCTTAAGTCTTATAGCCTTATGCCTATCCCATAAAGCCGTAACTAATATAATTTGTACCGTTTCTTAACTAATATACTTAAGTACTATTGCTGTTGTAGAATGATCCTTCTTTTCCATTGCCATTTTCCAGAGATAAAAGCTTATTACTAGTGATGTCCCGAACGGTTCGCCACGGATGGCGAATATATGCGCTGTTCGGTCCGCCCCCTATGTCATCATTGAGTAAACTTTGACCCTGTACCTCAGTCAGCAGACACATTCCAGCCAATCAGCAGCAGACCCTCCCTCCCAGACCTTCCCACCTCCTGGACAGCATCCATTTTACATTCATTGTGAAGCTGCATTCTTGGTGAGCTGTCCAGGAGGTGGGAGGGTCTGGGAGGGAGGGTCTGCTGCTGATTGGCTGGAATGTGTCTGCTAACTGTGAGGTACAGGGTCAAAGTTTACTCAGTGATGACATAGGGGGCGGACCGAACAGCGCATATATTCGCCATCCGTGGCGAACCGTTCGGGACATCACTACTTATTACATTATTTATCATAGGTAGAGACAATTTGATGGTCAATTATATGGCCATTACGACTTTGTTTTTAGCTGTGAAAAGATGGAATGGATCTTCAAATACATATAGATTACGTTTTGTGAGAGTTGGTCAATGGTCTGCATACTTTTGCAAAGCATTTTATTTGTATTGATTTAACATTTAATCATTTACCATGTTCACTAATCAAACATTAGCTTTTAATTAACATTTTGGCGTTCACATTTTTTATTACTTTAACAAATTATAGGTTACATTTCTTGAGTCTTGTCCAAAGCAAGAACATAACCAGTTCCACTGGCGTGTACCAGAACACCCAGGGTGAACAAAGTTTAATAAAAATTAAAGTGTAAGTGCAGCACTTAAAATTAACTTACCCTATGCACAGGCTTAGGGTTATGTACTCTCATATATACATGGAAGAAAAAAGAAAAAAATCCAATAGTGCAACACAGTGAACACTAATAAATAGTATAAAAGCGATAGATAGATAGATAGATATATGCTCAGTGTTTTGAGCCTGAAGGTGGTGGTGTATCACCTAAACATTGGGGTATTGTTTTCTATATCTATGTTAGTGGGACTTTGGGAGTTCCCACAAAGTGCTACAGCTGCTAAAACACTACATCTAATTATTTAAGTTAAAAAAAGTGACCGCCATATACACATTCCTTAAAAGTTTAATAAACATTTGCACAATATTATTCAAGGAGTAGTCTAAAGTGTGTATCTAAATTCATATTTAACTGATGAGGTTGGAAAAAGGGCAATAAATACACTTGCAAAGAGGAACAACTATGGTATGTAAGTAAGCTCAATGTCCCAGATACACTGGGATGGGCTGCCTATTATTGGTTGGGGCAGGCAAGGACAAATTAAGGTTGTTTTTGTAGCATTAAACTCGCAGATTATAGTGTGGATGGTCCAAACTGGTCACATGAAGCATGTGATACAAGTGACAAATCGAGGCTGCTATGGTCCCAAGGTTTGTAATGATATATTCCTACAACCTCCATCAGTATCACCCTACTATCACTGGCCAAAGTAGGTGAAATGGAAAAGTTCTCCAAGTCAGCTATTATTCCATGTTAGCTGTTTTGGATTTAACTTTGAAATTCACTTCAAAGTCTCGTCAATTCTCACTTTAGTATATGTTGTCTAGAAGGTTGGCCAGTCTCAAATACTGCAGTCTATCAGGAAATATCCCAGTGGCTCAGTGAAGGCTTGGAGAGTATTTAGAGCATAGGCCATGCACAAACCTAAACAGTGCCAGACCAGAAAAGGCCCTGCACAAGTCCTGCCTTCTGCCTTATCCACCACTCGTAATTTAAAATTTTGAAATAATGGTTTGAAGCTGCAGTCCACAATCCCCTTGCCAGCCCTCACGTTGTAGTGGCCTTGGACAGGCAAATACCCAGGGCCAGATTAAGAGCCCAGTGGGCCTGGTGCTGATAATTATGATGGGGCCTAATTACAGAATCTTATCGACCAAAAACACTAAAACAGTCATACCTCTTAAGCGTCATGTATCTGATAGAGATAGTGTTGGAGGGAAACTCATAGGATGCAGCTATAAGAAAACACATACTCTATGCTAATCTCTCTCTAATTTATGCTTTCATCTTTCAAGTAAATCCATACCCCCTAACAGCAGTGTCCACTGAAGAAGGAAGTTAATGGGCGGGGTAAAAGGGTGGGCCACTGACGCGAATCACGTGACCAGAACTACCAAATGTGTGTGTGTGTGTGAGGGGAAGGCACAAAAAGGGGGCATGTCTGTCCAAAGAACTGGAAGGCCAGCCTGGGATCAGTGTCCCTATATTTCTCAGTGTCCCTATGTCACCCAGTCCACTAGTCTCTCAGTGTCTGTGTCCCCATTTCTCCCAGTGTCCCCATGTCTCAGTGTGTCCCGTGTCACTAGGATACTAGGGGACATTGAGAGACATGGGGACACAGAGACCCGGGGACACTGATACATGGGGGCACTTAGGGACA